AGAACATGAGTGTGTGTGTGTGTGTGTGGGGGGGGTTAATGGGGGGATGAGGACACATTTGATGGACAACAGGGTGATGAGAACATGAGTGGGGGGGAGTTAATAGGGGGATGAGGAAACATTTGTAATACCTTAACTAATAAAGAAGTTAAAAAAAATGATACCTTGGGGAAACATGTGTTCACAGACAAAAATTATAAGACATTTGAGAAGTCCAGCCACTTAAAAAAAGCAAAATCAAAAAAACCAACTCACCAATTACAGAATCCAACTGTAGCAGATATATTGGAATGAATAAATAATATTAAATTAGACCAGTAAATATATTAAAAGGAGAAGATATAAAAAAGAACCAAGGGAAAAAACATATAACAAATATGAGAAATCTAGTAGTTGAAATTTAAAAACAAATACATGATGTAAATAGCTGAATATATAAAATACTGCTGAGAGTAATTTTTGAAGACCTAAATAAATGGGGAGATATTATGTGGACTAAAAAGCTCTATATATTCACCAACAATTTTTCCAAAACTGACATATAGATTCAACTTAATTTAATCAAAATCCCAACAACATTTTGTAGACAAATGATTCTAATAAAGATGATTCCAAAATTTATATGGAAATGTGCAGTACCTACAAGCAGCTCAAACAACTTTAAAATGGAATAAAGTTGGAGGACTTAATATCTGATTTCAAGACTTCTTATGAAGCTTCAATTATCAAGACAAAGTGATACTAACATAAACATGGAAAAATATATCAATGGAATAGAATAGAGCTCAGAAACAGACTCACACATATATGGTCAATTAAATTTTCAGGTACCAAGGCAATTCAATGGGTTAATGGGATAATCTTAACAAATAAGAAGCAATGGCTATCCTATATAACTAGAGGCCTGGTGCACGAAATTCGTGCACTGGGGGTGGGGGGTGGGGGACGGGGTTTGTGTCCCTTAGCCCAGCCTGAACCTTCTCCAATCTCCAATCTGGGACCCCTTGGGGGATGTCCGACTGCCGGTTTAGACCCAATCCCTGGCCTAAACTGACAGTTGGACATCCCTCTCACAATCCGGGACTGCTGGTTCCCAACTGCTTGCCTGCCTGCCTGACTGCCCTTAACCGCTCTGCCTGCCAGCCTGATCACCGCCTAACCACTCCCCTGCCAGCTGATCTATGCCTAACTGCTCCCCTGCTGGCCCAGGCATCCCTAACTGCCCTCCCCTGCTGACCCAGTCACCCCTA